TTCCAGATTGAAAGAAGAAAATACAGTGATGTTGGACTATGTTTTACCAGACTTCAGCACAATAAAAAAGGGATTTTGTAAGGTAATTCTGTAAAATAATTATAAGTGTGTTTAAAGTTTTCATTGTGTACAAATAAATGGTTAATGTTTGCCAATTTGTTATATGTTGTGTTTGCATATTAAATATAGTAGTGGAAAAATACTTAATGAACTCTAGATTTCATCACTATGTGTTTTATAATTGTTTGATGTAGCCAAGAGAAGAAATGGTGTTAAGTGGAAAGTACAAAACTGGTGAACAAATACTTCGTCTTACAAATGAGCGATTTGCAGTTCCAGAAATACTCTTCCATCCTTCAGATATTGGCATTCAAGAAACGGGAATTCCTGAAGCCATTGTTTATTCAATTCAGAATTTGCCAGAAGGTACATCGATTAAAATGGTATTGCATTCTAAAGGATCCATCTTTGAAGTATATTGCACAATAAAACATTTTATTATGCTTAAGTAGCTTACAGTTTTAAAGGCTTCATTGTGTACAACTATTTTAATATTGATATTTGCAATAATTACATGTAGTTCTCAGTCAATAATCACTCATTCAGTGGCCATTTGAAGTTACAGTGGCACCAAAAAGTGATGCTTTCAACCAGTCCTTTAGATTCTGACTGTCCCAGGAACCCCATGATCATGTAGTCATGATCTGGATGCTTGGTAACCAGTTCACACTTACTACAAGAATTGCAGCATCCCGCAACATGTGATTGCCATTTGTGACCTTCCCTGCCAGTTTTCCACACGCAAATTAATGGGGAAGCTTGCAGGGAAAGTCGCAAGGCACTCTGGTGTAAGTCATTCACATTCCAGTGGCTTTTTCTCCAGAGAAGCCTTACTGTGGTACCTGAACCCACTCTTCCCAACCACCAACACACCCTCATGCACACTTCCCCGTTTGCAGCACCAAACTCAACGATGGTTGCCAATGCATCCAACAGCAGCCAACCCTGGCCTTGTCGTATTTGTGCTATGCCTTGACAACCAATCACACATCCTCTCACACTTGGTAGCAGCCACACCCAGCTTCCACTATGTTTATGCCATGCTTCAACAGCCATTTGTGCATTCTTCCCCCATCGGGAGCAGCCATCCCTCAGACTGCACAATAGCCACCCATGCATCTTCCCTTATCCAGCTCCAATCACTTAATTGTCCAACAGCGTATTGGTGATCCACCTGGGACTTGCAACTTTTTGCTAGCTTCCCTATTGACTTTGCTTATTGGAAACTGACAGGAAGTTGCAAGAAGATCCTCACTCAGTGATCTGCAGTCCTCACTTAACATCAATGGGCTAAACTATGTGGTCACATGACATCACACTTTTCAACTGCATCTCTTAGTGACAGAAATTCCGGTCCCAATTGTCATTATAATCCTAGAACTACCTGCATTTATATTAAGGATGTTACATCTGTAAAATTTGCGGTAGATAAATTTACAAACCAATATATTTTACTCTATAAGCATAGCTTCTGTGTACAAGAATTCCTGTTCTAATTTCTCTGATATCAAATTTAATAAAAACATTTAAAAATGATTAAACATCTAGTTAAAATATAATGGCACATTACATAGGAAACCATTGTTAGTATTAATGTGCTATTGTAAAACTCTAGTAATTATCTCTGCACTATCAAGAATGCTGAACAAAAGAAATGTAAAGATAACAAGTATTGTGAAATACAGTTTCACTTTAGCACTTTGTGGAAATAAGCAATTATGTTTGTAAAATACGTAAATATTAAGATAATGGTAAGAGTGCCTTCATGTGTTTATTCCAGGTTAATAACAGTCTTAAACCTATCAAGTAGCTGCTATTCGAGAGAATGACAGGCGTATGCATTAATTATGCTCAGGTTAAGATCTTTTAGCAGGAGGACCATATTTGTTCTTGTTACACTCACAGAAAACTCCATAATGTCAGCAATAATTCCAATTATTTTTTAAAGAAACAGACAAATCTGAATTATTTCTACCTCTCAGGCAAGTTTAAACTGGCAATTGCTCTTTACTTTACCATAAAATCAAACAAATTAATTCAGAATATTAAATTGTCTTAATCTGATTTGTCTACAGAAATGCAGCCTCATTTCTTCAAGAATATTGTTTTAACTGGTGGGAATTCTCTGTTCCCCGGTTTCAGAGATCGTGTTTATTCTGAGGTTCGATGCCTCACTCCAACAGATTATGATGTTTCAGTTGTTCTACCAGAGAAGTAAGTTGTCTTCAATTTACAAATAGAGTATCTTAATTTTAAAATATCTTTCAGTTTTTATGTTAAAGTTTCTAATATTAATTTAGGAATGAATGTATTCTGGTTCTTTCTGGCACTGTTGGCGGTATACAGATGTACTCACCGTATTACTCCTTTTGGGGTAAGTGGTGTTATGCCACCTATAAAAAAGAAGTAGAAGTAATGGGCAAAATATAAAAATAGAATATAATAGAAAAGGGAAGAAAGACTAAAATTATTCTTTATATTTCTATATACCTTCCTGTCCTTACAAATCATTCTTGCTTCCACGATATCCATATAGTATTTATATATTGCCTTTTCTTCCTAAAATTTCTCACCTCTTTTTCAGGCTCTCATCTGCTTTGTCCACCCATGATTTTCCTAATCTTCCCCTTTTGCTCAACTTATTTATTTAGTCTTTTTATTTATTTATCAAATTTATTTGCCATTTATTTGTCTCATAGTTTAAGGCAACTCTGAGCAGCTGACAGCAAAATAAAACACACAAACATCTGACAATTATAAATAAATAGTCTCTATTAATG